GCTATATGTGGAAGGAAACTGTGACCGAGGACAAGCTGATGGCATAAGATGTAAGTACAACTCCTCCGGTTTCATATGCAAAAAAAATTTATTGCACTAGCTCACGTGGTTGCAGAGCTACAAAGATTTAAAAATAGTTATGCAAAACAGAGCGTGCCCGCTCCGACCGGCTTTAAAGGGTTAACACCTCGTAGTGTTAGTAGACGCATCCCTGCTCGGCTCTTATTCATGCCTCTGTTTTACATCTTTACCTTCAGGGTGGTCTTGCGGTGTTCTGCCATTACTGTGAGTTTCTCCAGCAGCCCACGAAGAAACTCCTGAGTAGCATGAGAAACCAAAGCAACCACATCTGGACCAACATCAGTTACTCCCAGAGGCTGTCCTAACAGAGGGGACATGACAAGATCACATCCCGGGAGTCTCAGAGACTAGTCTGAGACAGTGTCTGTAATAAACACGAGATAATGAAACCTTGTGTCTCAGCGTGGATCCTGTACCTGTGTGAAGGATTGTGCTGAGCGCCGGGTGAGTCGACAGGAACAGCTGATCCTGACACGACTGCACCACAGCACCAACCGTGCTGGTCAAGATCTGTGCGTTCTCCTCTCTCAGGTTGACTCCAGCCATGGAGGTGACGTCATTGATATCATCATCTTCTCTGGGACACAACACACATTTGTGCTAAGGATGCTTGTGATTAAATGTTGCTGCTGCAGTTAAACTGTTGCTTAATATTCTCTCATCATGCAACATGAGGTAACTGTTGGATCACAACCACCTGCCACAGGTGAAGACACCCCCTCTCTGTGATGGCGAACTGTACATATGAAGGGTGCGAGCTGTGTGAACCAGCACAGCTCCACTTTGAAGGACAAACAGCTGGATATAGGGCTGCTTTTACACATCATCCACCCCATAGTGCACTGATTCCAACCACCACAAGATTCCTATTAAAGTGTCAAATGTGTGAACTTTATATCTTACTTGTAAGATCCTGAACTGTCTCTGAATGCAAATTTGGTAGAATTAGGTGGCTCATGAGCGAAGGGCTGCTTCACTGAAAAACCTCCTATAAAACAGCAAAATGCATAAAGAGTGAGAGCAGGCCAGGGTCCTGCAAGCGTCTCTTGGTGTCACATGGTCTGTACACATAATTCCACAACACTTTTGAATTTCTAAAGCCTAAAAAACACATTTAGGTCTCCTGAAACATGGTGAGGACACACTGAAGCACCCTGACTGTGTGTACAATTATTAAAAAAACAAAACAACACCCTCACAATGAAATAAACAACTAGAGGAACAAAAATGAGCTGATTGATCAGTTCTGTGTTCACCTCAACGGGGCTCCAAATCTAAAGTTTAACAAAGTTTACCTGAGAAGTTTTTCCCCGAGTATCCCACTATGTGCCGAGTGGTGGGTTTCTTAGATATGCAGTTTCTGGAGTGGACTAATGTTGTGAGGCCAGGTCGCAGAGCCACTCCTCGAGCCTGGAAAACCTGCATCTTAAAAAGGGTCATCATTAGTCAGCATTTCATCCTAAATCCAACACTATGTAAGTTTCTATGCCATCTACATATCTCATACACATTTGTATTAATACAATAAAAAAGGCTCTTAATATCTTACTATAATTTCAAATGTCAGACAACAACACCTCTGCTTTTTTGGGGCTTTTTCTTTTGTGTGTTTTTGTATAGTAAGATACATCCTGGTTCTCAATTTTTCTAGTAGAACAAGGACAAGGTATGTTTTCATAGTGAGACCTTAGCCGCCACGGGGAAGATGGAGTGGTGATGGCGAAGTCTCTGCAGGGGAGTGTTTACACCCTGCTGTGCAGTGGACACTTGCAAGTTTTGTTTTCAGGGGTTTCCAGGTCCAGTTCATGTCGTTCCATGTGTATTTGTATTGTCCAGTTTCACAGTCTATTAGCTCAAGTACAGACAGCAGTCTTCCCTCGGCCACTGTCAACTTAGCCAAGTCAACAAATCATATACCCGTCTGAGTACAGTAAGGTACGTCGAACACAATCAGTGGTCTTAGAATCGTCTCCTGGGGTGTGAGGGGTGCAGGAAATGCAACCAAAACTAACAAAGTGATGGTGCATTTACAGCAGCTGAAAGGA